CTGACCCAGGCACAGGACCTGACCCAGGCACAGGACCTGACCCAGGCGGATCCTGACCCAGGCGGATCCTGGACGGCCCTTCACGCCCACCCCTGCATATCCCGACAGCCCACCGGAGCCCGGAGCCCCCCCGCCGTCGGCCGGAGCCGGAGGCCGCACCTGTGCTCGGCAGGTGGAGCTCCACACATGCGAAAACCAGCCCGTCACCTCCACCAGCAGCCCCTGTCCACCCCCCCCCCCCCCCCCCCCCCGGGAGGATGAGCGGGCCGGAAGCCGCACCGTGTCCGGGGGGGCTGTCTTACCATGGCCTCCATCGCCTCCCAGCTCCTGGTCTCGGATCCCGACAGGAGGAAATTCCGGAAATTCCCCCGGAAATTCACCTTCACGTTGATGTGGTCCATGGCGTCGGCTGCGTGCACGCTACCACATCCTACCTGAGCGGAGCCGCCGGAGCCCGGGATGATGCTCTTCTTCGGCTCCCGGGGCTTCAGTGGTCGGGGCTGCAGCGCCCCCCCGCGGCGCTGGCTGTAGCTGCAGCCGCTTTCTGTGGGGCCACCCCCCCCCTCTCTTAGGGCGATCCAGCTCTTTTTTCTGTACATGGTAGATGAATCTTTCACATTGCTGTGAGCTCATGTTCTCCATCTCTCTCCCTGTCAGGGGTCCACTTGCAGGCTCTCAGGGGAAAAAAGGCACAATCACTTCATCCAAAAAAGTATCATTTATGTTGGACAACAAAACAAATCACTGCTCCAAAAACAGGGCAAGAAATCTGAACATACAGCCTCTGAGATAAAGTATGAACTAAAGATCCCTATGAATGAAATAGGCAAACCCTCCAGCGCACAACACTCTGTGACCACAAGAGAGGTGACAGAACCATAGTTTAGGAAAAGACCTCTTCTAGATTATTTTCTGTGGGCAGCTGATAACAGTCCACAACACCATCTCAAGATCTGAATTCTACTTTGCTGTCTTCATTCTGTGTCCTCTCAGCCCAGATCGGCCTCCAGGGGGCTGTGTAGGGCATCTTCAGGACACGGCCTTCGATATGCTTCTGTTTTGGGCATTTTTATTGTTACTTAAAAGTGTAGGTCGATTTATGATACCCACTTGTGCATTTAAAATGTGAAACCTTGTATTTCTTATTAAAATTGTCCAATTGAGCCCCCCCTTTTTTCATTCCTTTTCAGTTACTCAGATAACACATGACAGAGTGGGGGCTTCACACGCTCTGGGGCCCCCCGGCTGTAGCTGTAGAGTGGGATGTCTGGCTTTCCCTCGGGAACTCACAGAAATGTTGGTGAACATGAGGGAAGCAGCAATGAATTGGGGAAGCGTATCACCGAGCTGCTGCTCAGCCTTCATCTGTTCTCTGTCAGCTTACTGGACACACGACATACTGCACATAGTTGTTCTGCACTGCTTCCTGTCTATCGGTTCTGTGAATGTGTCATACCCACATCATTAAATCAGCTGCTCTGTGTAGAGTTTCAGGCCAAAGTAAAGCACAGGTGTCAGTCCGTAGCTTATTTTCCATGTGGCCAGGCTATAGAGCAGACTTTCCGTACAATAGAACATGTTTAGAACAAACTGGAGTCAGTTCATGAAGCTGGCTGCTAGTACTGGCTGGCTTCAGCTTGCTAGATGTATTAAGTTTCTACAAATATTCCCCCTCAGAGGCAAAGCTTTGCATGAGCTGTACATCAGTGTGGAGAGAAGGGGAAGTGGAGATGGGGGGGGGGGGCATGTGTGGCTGCAGAATTCACCTCTCAGAAGCAGCGAGGTCATCAGAGTCAGTGTGAGCAGCGCACTACTGGCCTGTAAACACACAGATGTCTACAGGCCAGACTACGGCCTGGAGCTACTCTGAAAGCATGCAAAGTAGTTTTTCCAAGAGATCAGAGAAAAACCTGTGTACCCAAAGTGCACTAAAGTCCTGAACAACACCGAGGCACATCTGGAGTCTGTGCAGATGGTGACAGACTCTCCAGCTGCCTTTCTAAGGCCCCCAGTGAGCCATCAAGTCCAGACCATAAGTCTCAAGTCACGACGGGTGAAATTAAGATGGACAATACACACATTAAAGAGCCCTGTAGATCATGATGTGTGGTGTGAGCTTCTTTATTACTCCTAAATTCATTGAAGCCCACCAGTCAGCTTTCTTTACTTTAGTTGGCTCTTTTAATTTGCGTTTCTAAAGGCTCATCCTTTAATGGTGATTTTTACTGAGCCTTTTCTCCAGGAAGAGTCAGATTTAGGGATGATAACTACAGGTCCACTGCCAACATTAGTCTATAGATCAGTGGGCTTCCAGGATAGCAGGTGAGACCAACAGATGTGTCTCAGGCAAAAAGCAAAGACAAACAGAACAAAGCGAGACAAGCAGAAGGTGTTTCCTAATGGGACTCTGTGATGCTATCTGCTCCCGCATGGCTTCCACAATGCACGGTGTTCAAACGTGTTTTTGTCTTATCATGCTGACAGCCATTGAGAAAACGTTCAGGAACAGCAACCCAACCAGTTTCTGATGCAAATGCCCAATTTCTCTCCTTCAGCACTGATGCAGACACAGAGTAAAGTGAACATAGTTTTCACTTGGCTCAGGAGGAGGGGAAAATTCTCCCTCCTTCAATGGACATGATCCAGACTCAACCATAAATGTCACTTGTTTACCCAAAACTATTGCTGAGGATAAGAAGCCTTGTATGCTCCACCGGTTATAGGAGCACATGTCGGATGGATGATGGATGATGGATGATGGAAGGATGGATGATGGATGATGGATGGATGGATTCAATTAAATTCAATTCAATTTTATTTCTATAGCTCCACATCACAACAACAGTTGTCTCACAGCTTTCCAAACAGAGCAGGTCAGACCTACTCTGAAGTTAACTACAGAAACCCAACAATTCCCACCATGAGCAGCACTAGGCGATACAGGCAAGGAAAAACTTCCTTTAACAGGCAGAATCCTGGAGCAGAACCATGGCTCAGGGTGGGCGGCCATCTGCCGCGGCCGGTTGGGGATGAGAGTGAGAGAGGGCAAGAGAGAGAGAGAGAAGGACAGAGGGAGCAGAGAGAGGCAGCCAACACAGCAACACGTAGACTAGATGAAAAATGGCAATGATATTAATACTAATGATAATGGTAGAAGCTATGACAGAAATAACACTATGCAGAGTAGTAGCAGAGCAGGAACACGGGGGCAACAGGAAACTCCCAACCACAGATCCAGACTCCACAGCTCTAGGAACACCTGCAGGAAGTGATAGGAGGAGACTCCCAACCACAGATCCAGACTCCACAGCTCCAGAGCCAGGAATATCTGCAGAAAGTGATAGGAGGGGAGAGAAGAGAGAAGGGGGACGAGAAAGCACAAGACTACGGGGAAGGGAGAGAGTTCAGTTAGTAACATTGTTAATGGAATGAGGCTGCACCGGGAGGAAGAGAGAGAAAGGAGAGGGGAGAGGTGCATCATGGGAAATCCCCCGGCGGTCTAGGCCTATAGCAGCACAACCAGGGGTGGACTTACCCTAACTATAAGCTCTATCATAAAGGAAAGTCTTAAAAGTCTGAAAATCCTCATCCATGGTACATGTTCTGCACCACCTGTGAGGCGTCTGGAACCCATCCCAGCTGAAAGTGGGCGAGAGGCGGGGTGCCCCTGTAATGGTCGCCAGTCCATCACAGGGCCACACACAAAGTTAGTTAGGATATTGGTAATGAATATTAGTAAATATAAACCAACTCTAAGTTATGAATCCTTTTTCATTAACTTCAAACTGATTTCTTTGTCTTTGCCCTGACATAGAATAAGAAGCTTCTCAAATCCAACCTAAACACATTGTTTATTGGCTATTTTCTGCATAGATTAATGTTAACCTTAAGAAATTATTCAGTCTAACTTTATTTCTTTAAAACAACCCCAGTGCAAATTTGCAAGAACAACAGTATCTAGTCCTGGTATTTTACTCCAGGGTTGCACAGCTGCGTGCTTCAAGTGTTCATCAATAATTCCAAATAATTCTGTCAGCTACAGGTCAAAATGGTGCATTTCCTAAAATGTTTTGCCATTTGACTGCAGGAATGTAGAATTGTTCTGAATTGTTGTACAGCATGAATAAAGTTAATCGTTTCAGTCGAATGTGGCTCTCAACCTGTTCAGTTGAATTTGGCCTTAAAGCAGTAGTGATGTGGCTGTGTGAGTGGGGACTTTTCACAACACAACCCGTACTGGGAACAGATCTGCTGCAGTCCCTGTGATGACAGAGTGAACGGGCCTGTTTGGTGAGGCCCAGCTCTCTGCCCTCAGCCCCGCCCAGATACCTGCTGGCTTTGATAGGCAGCTCTCTGACATGCAAGTCATCAGTCAGGTGTGGCACTGCTCCCCGTAACACCGACCTGCACAGGGCCTGGCATTTGGGGCTGTGAGTTCCAGCAGAAAGATTAGTTTGGTAACTCTGTGTGGGACTGACAGAGAGGACGAGGAGCTCTGGCTGGACTGTCTCACAGCTAGCAACACAGGTGTGTTTCATTTGAAATCCTGTCTCCTGGTTTCTTGTCTTTTCCCTTTTCCTGCTTTCAGGTGGTGGATACTGGCTTAATCCAGTTTTATGAAGCACATTTCCAAAGTCTTCCTTTTTTTACCTGCTGTGATAAAGGTGGCTGCCTAACCCAAGAACAGCCATCAGAATCTGGTTTAACCTCCAGAAACTGCAGACTGGAATTTCTACAACGAATGCTTCCTCCTGGGAGGGCTGACGGAGCACCGTGTTCTTTTCTTTTCCTTCATCTGTTTACTGCTTTTCATTTTGTATTTAGCTGACTGGCATCACAATCCAAAGTCTTCTTTTGTGTAGTTTTGACCTTTTTTTATCTTTGCATATTGAGTACCTAATTATTTCCCTTTTGAAAACCTTGGCTGAAGCATTTATTTCATACATCCTGATATTTATTTTGGGTTCACTGGTAAACTTTTCATTTCTTTTATTTCTTTACTGGATGTAACAGGACTAGTAATCTTTTCACCACTAATCAAGTTTCCCTTTAAATGTCCCCCCCCCCCCCCAAACACATTTAAAATGGCTGCTTTTCTGGCCTCCACAGTGCCATGATCCACAGCTCTCCCTGAATCTCTCACCATGCAAAACTTTCCTCATCATATTGCACCCATGGACCCTCAGCTGTGTCCACCTATTGCGGGCAGCAGCCAGTCGGTCATCAGCTGTCACGACAAGGCCCCAGCCAGCACTTTCAAACCGGGCCACTCCCGGAACAGCAGTACCGGTTCATCCAAACAATCCAAGCAGGTCAGATCATTTCTGGGAGGTGACGTTAAACCTTTTAAAGGGGAGAATAACATGGTTTTAGTTTATGGTGTATTTTCATGACAGATTTAAGCACTTTATATACATGTATCCTCAGAATAGAACTGCTCTCTTCCAAAAGATGGAAATCAGATGGAATTCAGACCCACATCTATTGTTTCTTTTGTTTTTTAGTAATTTGGGTGAACTCGGAACAATGAATATGCTGGTTCTTTTTCAGTCTCGTCACTGGGAGGTGATGGAAGACTTGCAGAATGTGGATGCGTGCTCAGTTCCTGGTTCCTCTCTAGATCTCAGTATTCCTGGGATCTGTGAGGGCTATTTGATGAAGAGGAGGAAGTACCCACTCAAAGGCTGGCACAAGGTGAGCGGAGAACCTATATGTCCATAAGTTCTAGTTAAAACAAAAACCAGGGTAATATTTTCAGCGTGAGCCTGAAAATGGGCTGCAGTAGTCAGCAGCTGTGGCTGAAGCATGATGTTTGAAATGAGTGGAAGGCAAGGAGCAGGTGAAAGCTACGTGAGACGAGAGGTTTTTCTCAGAAAAGATGCATGAAGGATTCCTAAGATTCTTTATTTATTATTCTCTGTTGAGCAGTCAGACTGGAAGTGCAAAATTGAGGAAACCCTTTTTAAAAAATTTGAGTCAACATTGATGAGGCATTCCTATTGGCAGAGGCATGAACTGAACACACGCATACTTTGTCCATAAAAAGAACTAGCTATTGTTTGGCACCAGTTCAAAACTTAAACCGGTTCAGTTAGTAGCACAAGCAGAACAGTGCTTGAGAATCATTCCTTTAAAAACATCAGCAATTCAATCACTTGGCAAACTATTTTTTCTCTGAACAACATGACGAAGTTATTTCTAACATTATGATACTCTCTTTGTTTTTGTTTTTCTCAGAGATACTTCCTATTGGAAAAAGGAATTCTCAAGTACTCAAAGACGCAACAAGATGTGAGTTGTCCGCAGAGCAACAATAGGTTGCTCAGCTGCTGTTGGACTTAGAAACAAGGCCAAGAAATTGACAGGGTTGATTTGTTGTAGATCCAGAGAGGAAAGCTCCATGGCTCTCTGGATGTCAGCCTGGCCGTCATGTCTGTGAACAAGAAGGCCAAGCGCATAGACCTGGATGCTGGAGACAACCTCTACCATCTAAAGGTAACTGCATGGAGGCTGTCCTCTTTAGAGGGATGGGACTGCTCTTCAAAAGACCACACTTCTGGATGTCCTCCAGGGGGCTGACCCTGTCCTCTTTCCCCTTGTTAGGCAAAGAGCAGTGACATCTTCTACATATGGCTCACCAAACTGTGTGCTCACCGCGTTTTTCGGAAAAATGAGGCAATGACTGTTCATCGTGGTGTCCTTCATGCTCTTTCCTTTGGCCAGGGCACGCCATCAGCCATGGCCACGCTCGGCCAGCAGAACAGAGGAATGGTCAGTCTGTTACTGCCTGAATAAAATGTCACCTGGCATCAATAATTCTTTTTAATTCCTTATGTTATTGATCAACAAGCTCAGATTTCTGAGATTCGGGGGAAAATGTTCTATGGCCATAACAGACCGAGTAGCAACATGAGATCCTATTGATCATGGTTTTTATTCTGTTCTCTAACACGCCCTCTTATTTACTGACTGTGGTCATGTCCAGCCTTCTCACTACACTAGCTCAACATCTGTGTACCATCCAGAGGGGGCTAGCGCCGCCCCCGTCTCCTCTTACCCCGGGGTGACCAGCAAGGTGTCGGCCTGGCTGCAGCAGACCCATGACATCGACGCTACCTCCAACGGTGAGGACAACATGTCACATGCATCCCGCTTGGAAATCCACCTGGACATGGCAACACAGCCCACAAACGCACTCCCTGTATCATGAATAAACTCATGCACCCTCTCTCTGTGTGTTCCCCTGCCTGGATTGGGACGGCTTTCAGACCTGACCCGTTGTCAGGCAGAGCTGACAGAACTGGCTCAGCTCATACAGAGGCTCTGCTGGCTGGAGGGAGGCCTGCCAATCACAAACACAGACCTGGAGATGCGAATCAGCATGCAGGTGAGCACAAACTCTGCTCTGAGCTTTTTCATATTTGATTTTAGCTGGTTACAGAGCTGGTAGACATGCTATTTTTCTAAACATTTGAAATGATTTGGTCTACCTTACCCATTCTTTAAAGAACCTGTCTCTGGAGAAACCCAAAAAGAAGACGGGGAAAGTCTTGGGTCATTCCAGGACTTTGTCCCGTGTTGAAGCCATGGGGGGCATGGTAAGAATTTCAGATATTTTACTCATCAGTCTGGTTGTTGTTGGAGTAGTATGTAATGTAATAGTATCAAATTATCTTCAAATATCAAACCTTAACATAACAAATTAGACCAGGGAATGCTGGACTCGAATTATGAACCCTTCTCAAATTCTTTTTTGTAGTCTTTTTTCCTTTTTAGAAAAACTAATCCTACAAGCCTTGAATGTTTGAAATATTCTCGTCTTACAATTTTTTTTCACTCCTTTAGACCATAAAGTATAGTTTTTTTGTGAATGTATAACTATTAAAATGACCATGAAGCATTTTTTTCAATATATTTTCAGGGTTTTAGAGCCCTGGACTAGTGAATAGTTCACACTGATGGAGAATTGCTTGTGGGGCTTTAAAACAAACCAAGCTTCAGTGCACTGAAGTCCTAAAACACTTTGTTTTTAACTTCTCGATAAGATTCTAGAAAGTAACCACACTTGGTGTACTTGCTTTGTAATATTACATTTAGTCCTGTCCTCCATCTATTTCATTCCACATCTGGTAAATTACTCAACACTGACTGACAGTGGAGAGGGAGTGTCACGCTGGTCCTTAAGGGCTGCTGTCCTGCTACGTTTCCCTGCTTTATGAAAATGGATTGTGGTTAAATGGATCCATGCAGGAGCTGTACTCTGCACAGCCCTGCTAATGGCACACTGCTGTGAAGGTGCAGGACGGCCACCCCACAGGACGAGCATCAGACACCTGTGACTAGGGTCATACTTACGTGTTTGGTCTTCCCCAGTTCACATCTAGCCACCTGAGCACCAACTGTAACTCAGGTTTGGCAACATCTGTTCAGTCCATCCCAGACTACGTTTACTCCCAGTTGTCAAACCCTCAAGTAACATCACCCGAGGCCAAGAAGCTCCATCAGGACATCTGCACTGTGTCTCAGAAGGGTAAGCGCTTCCCCCTGAAGCTGATTTGTGAGATTGCTTTCCCCCCCTGAGGATTGGGTGGAAATTACTTATAAAATCTCCTGGATGCTGTGTTGCAGTCCACGTCTCTCTGAAGTCCATTCATGAGGTTTTGACCTTGGAGCGAGAGCGGCTGAGGCAGGCCTGGACAGGCCCTGACCTGAGGCAGAGCACTTCCCACCAGCTTGCCACACTCTGCAGCACTTTGTCCGAGGTAATACTTACACACCCAAAGCTGAGTTTCTGGCACCAAAACCATACTTGGTCTTTTCCCCTTCGCTTTTGCTTTGAGACCTTGGCCTTATCATTGGCACAGAGCGTTAGTCTGCAGCGGTAAGGCCCTCACAAATGTGCGGGAGGGCATGGCCTCCATTGTCTCTGGATGAAACTGTTGAGCAGGTTTGGGCTGTTTTTAGGCAGGACTGCACATCAGTTGAGACTTGAGGGAACACACCTTAAGCATGCGAGTCTGTCTTTCCGCACTGTGCCACAGATAAAGCTAGTCTTCTCAAAGTTCACTGAGCAGCTGCGTGAGATGAGGGCCTTGACGCTTCTTGCTGGGACAGTTTCTAGCAGCTTCCTCGGCGTGGCGCTGGTTACCTGTTAAGTGTGGCTTTGCTTCCTGTACATGTGTTGCTGAATATTTGAATTGTCCCGGTGATGTGGGTCTTATGTTGCTACCGGTTCTCCAGCAGCTGCCCTGCAACTTGTCATTGAACATGGGCCTAAATGCAATGTTTTATCATTGATCTTTGTCAAGTTATTTATCTATTTTTAAATCCCCAAGGGGCAATTGGTTGTGCAGACTTTTTTGTACTTCTCGACATAGCCTGACATGTCTCTGCAACAACTTACTTGGAAAATAACCATTTCAGGATCCCCTAAAGTTAAACAGTGATGCTATAAGTACAGCACAGGGGGGTATCATGAGCCTTTTATTGGCACTTGATTCACTGTACACTGAAAAAACAAACATTTAGTTAATCACTGAATCTAGAAGTGGACCAACATGACTCACTGGATGGACATGACATTTCCATAAAACGATCGAAAGCTTTTGCTGTCATCATTTTTAGCCGTTTGAGAAACCCAAAAGTTGAAAGAACAGTTGCGCCGGGGGGAATAATGAATCTCTGTGCTGTGAATGTTCTGCAGTCCGCGTGGTGTTCTGTTCATTTACTGCATCCCGTGTGTGTGTGTGTGTGTGTGTGTGTGTGTGTGTGTGTGTGTGCATGCAGCTTGACATACAGTCCCATTTGACCAAAGTCCACTCATTTTCCCTGTCCTCTGATTCTACTGAGGAATCCTTCTGCACTGTCCGTGCAAACCAGGTGTGTACAGTGCATTTTTAGTCTTGCTTTCCATCTTCAACTTTCATTGTTCTAAAAGTTTCCCAAAATCACTGAACATAATTGGAAATCACCTGATCGCCCTCCCGTTAACACATATTTTGAAAAAGAAGTTGATGGAAATGAATGACGGTGGTGGTGGTGGCTGGTGTCGCTGGGCTTGCCTCATCCTGTTCTCTGCATTTCACCATCTTGGTTTCATTTATTGTGTGCTGACTTGGATCTTAAAACTGAGCCTAAACCTAGTTGCTCCTCTTGTTTTTGGCTTCCTTACAGAGGACGCCCTCCCTGAGCCGCAACAGTCACCGTGCTCCTTCTGTGGCTGAATCCATGGCAGAGTATTTTGATGCCAGTGAGGTGATAGTGTGTGAGACTTCCTCAGAAGCAGAGGCTTCAGATGAGTCTGGCCTGAGTGACATCACCACCACCAGTAACTCGGAGCCCGAGGAGGGACACTGTGAGTGCTGACTCAGGTTTTATCCCACATCCGGCGGTCGCCACTGAAATCCAGACGGACATTAAACCCAGAACAGGGAGGTCACAGTCTTTTGCTCTGTTTTTAGCCACTGCCACACTCCACTACAGGGCCAGTCTGAGGAGCACAACAGACAGATCCAACGCTGTGCCCTCCGACACTGGTAACGCATCAGCTACTGCTGCCCTGCTCACATAACTGGTGCATGGGTACACAATCATTCTGGGGTCAAGACTTGTTAGAGTTGGAATAGGGTTGTAGTTAAGTGTCATTAAATACTTTGCATTTTTATTAAATTGTTGTTTTTTTGCCATCCAGGCCGCCGCACCACCCTCCCTTCCCCCGGATCAGACAACAGTCACATTGGAATTATGACCATCCTGTACAACAATATTGGAAAGGATCTGTCCAGGGTCTCCATGCCAGTTGCTCTGAATGAACCTCTGTCTCTGCTTCAGAGACTGAGTGAGGAGCTGGAATACTCTGAGCTGCTTGACATTGCCAACCAAATTGATGATCCATATGAAAGAATGGTTAGTGACTTTCAATGGAGAACCGAAATTGTGAGATTTGGGATCAAATTGAGCAGATGAAAGTCTCATTTAGTGGTTAAAAACACTCATACATCCTTCTAGGTTTATGTGGCAGTTTTCTCCATCTCTGGTTATGCCTGGGCAACCTGGAGATATCGCTATAAACCCTTCAACCCGGTCCTAGGAGAAACGTATGAGAATCTGAGAGAGGACAGAGGCTTCCACTATGTCAGCGAACAGGTAAGCGCCAGTGAGGGCACGCTAACTGGGAACCCATGTCCCAGTTAGAGCCCATGTAATTATGTGCTGTACATTCTCAGGTCAGCCATCACCCACCCATCTCTGCCTGCCATGCAAATTCAGAAAATTTCACTTTCTGGCAAGGTACAGGCAGCCTGTCTAGTTCTGGATGTTAAGTCTATCTGATGCGCATTAAAGTAACATGCCACTGTTTTTACTCTGTACTTGAAGATCAGAGATGGAAGAACAAGTTTTGGGGGAAGTCAGTGGAGATAATCTCTTCTGGATTGGTCAATGTTACCCTCCCCAAGTGAGTCCCTGTTGTTCAACATCTCCTGAGCTGATCTGCATTGTCCCCCTACTGGTGTGGCTGAAGCTGAGTTGTAGCACGTAGGACCACATGTGAGCGTACATGTACTAGTAGATAACGACCCTTAACACTGATGTTTCTGCCCAGTATGGAGCTGTTTAGACAGCTGCTTCAGCCACAGGTGGGTAAAGACGATATGAAAACATGCAGTAATAAACTGGGCAAACTGATGATGGGTGTAAATGGTCCAGTGAACTGTCTTTAATACTTTAGCTTATATGATTGAAACTGCATGCAGCTTCTCTTCTGGTATGCGTCTTTCTTTTGGTAGATCAATAAAACAAATGGTAAACAGTGTTAAAAAGGAGGGGTTGTGGTCATAACAGTTATTATGCTACACTGCATTTACTCTGAAAGGGCAGTTTGCTCTCATAGATGGAGCTTGTTAGTCAGGTAAAAAACTGATTGAGGATCAAAATCTCAATTTTCCGGTAACGGTATTCAACGTGTCCGTATTCAAATTTATATTTCTAAAAGATTGATTAATTTTTCTAAGAATAGGAGCACATTTTGAGAGGGATGGGAATAAGAATATCTGCTAAATGACTCGTGGATGATTTGTTGAATGTATGTAGGTATGGTGATCACTATGAATGGAACAAGGCAGTGACCTGCATCCACAATGTGCTGAGCCAGCAGCGCTGGTTGGAACATTATGGCGAGGTGGTCATCAGAAACACCAAGAGTGATGTGTGCACCTGCAAGATAACCTTTGTCAAGGTTGGATTCTTTTCTCACTTCCTCACTGTTGCATTGCCTGCTGAGTGAAACCCAATCCCGCCTCATGCACATGCTCACCTCCCGTTTTTCCCCGCTACACCTTGGCTTTGATCTTCCAGTCTCGATACTGGAGTTCAGACAACAGCAAGAACGAGGTGCAGGGTGTGGTTCTGGACCGTTCTGGAGAAGTGGTCCATCGTTTTGGAGGCCTCTGGCATGAAGGCATATTCTGTGACACGCTGCCAACACCCAAGTGCATCTGGAAGCCCAGTGAGTAGCAGCACCCCAGATCTGCCCCGAAACTGACAAGGCAGCAAACTGTCACGCTGCAGTTATGGGCTCAATTCTATCCACTTTTGATTATATAACACCAAAGCACATAAACTCATTACAGAGCACCCAAGTGAGTTTAAAAAATCACAACTGGTCCAAATCATGAACGGTAAACTAATGGATGAGACCTGTAGATCCCTCTGAATCTTCCTCAATCCAATCCTGACAACATGCAAGCTAACACTAGCATGGAAAAATACACTTTATAAGGAGGAGGGCAATTTTCTGCACCAGCTTGGTGCTCATTTATCTCTAAATGAGAAAAGTGGTTTGCTGTGTGCAAAAAGCTGAAGGACAACAATTGTAAAATAGTTAATTGCTCGTTCTTATCACTTTAGTTTCATGAGCTGACTCTTGGAATTTTCCTCTCTGTTCAGATGTACAGCCTGAAGATCAGTTCCAGTTTTATGGTTTCTCCCGTTATGCCAGAGAACTGAATGAACTGACTGCAGACCTGAAAGAGATCCTTCCCCCGACAGACACACGATTCAGACCAGACCAAAGGTAAGACCCAAAACACTTCCCTCTGAGCTCAGCCGTTTCTATGACTGTATCCATCTCTCCTCAGGATGCTAGAGGAAGGTAAAGTTACAGAAGCTGACAAGAGGAAGGATCAAGTGGAGGAAAAGCAAAGGGAAAGAAGGAAGGAGATGGCTAAAAGAGGAGAGGAGCATGTCCCCCGATTCTTCAAGTAAGTACATTCAGTATTAATGTTATTTCAACTGAATTAAAAAAAATGAAGGGTTTTCCCTGCTGTGTTACCCTGATCATTATTATTATTTATTTTTTACCCCCAATAGTTCAGGTGATTATTCAGTCGATTATTTATCGATGTATATGTTGTTGTTTTTTTTACAGCAAAGCTCTGGATGATGCTGGAAGAGAAGTGTGGCTGTATAATGGAACCTACTGGAAGCTGCGGAAAGATCCAGGCTTTGCCAAGACTGAAAATCTAAACTTGTGGTAGAACACTATCCTTGTCGTCATGGGCAAATTAAGAGTAGAGATTACTTATTAGTGTGATGAAGCTTAAAGATTTTCTGTCCCCCTTATGCAAACACAAAATGTTCCCAGTAATGAGACCGTAGGGCATAGAAGCTTTTAGGAACATGAATGAACCTTGTGGTTATACGACATGCATGCATTTTCTAATAGGAGGGGTGTGGTTGTAAGCTATTAAGAGGTGACATGTCACTTAGGAGCTAATGAAAGTGGACTCCAAGAAATGCTGGTCTTATTCCTTCCATTTGCAACCTTCTTTCTCATTTAGGAACCTTTTTAGAAAGATTCCCTTATAAAGTCAATGTTCATTGAAAGCTTTACCCCACATGACTCATGATCTTGTCTATGGCTATTGAAAATATGTCCATATACTTTATGACCTCTCATATTGGAATGAATGATGTCATGTTACGCCGACAGTTTTAACATGTCTGACTGGTGTAACCGCTCTGACGGATAACTTGTGTGTCTAAGACTAACTTTATGTGGAGATGGGTTGCTGGGGGGAGGGTGTGTGTGTGTGTGTGTGTGTGTGATGTAAGAGAACAGGAGCTGTTCAGCCTTCTATCTTGGTAGGTCCTGTGGCATAAACTTGTCAAAATTGGTGTGTAATAAATTTCTAATTTTTGGTTGAGGCACATGGTGATGCCATGTTACTGTCTCTATTTTAAATAGGGACAGTTCCATTATTGCCCCAGTAAGCTTCCTTTTACTTGAAAGAGTTGCAAGACCCAAATTGTCTGACTCCTATTATCTTGTTTGTTTTGTTCTCAAATGTTGAGGCTTTTATTGATATCAAATATGACTTTTTACAAATGCAAAACAACTTGCCCCTTTTCCCTAAAAATAAAAGTTTCCATAATCATCTGTTTGGCCTGTGTTTTTCCCAAAGCTAGCACTCCATTAAAAGGATTAAAAAATGAAAACAATTTATGGTGATTTATTTTTTCAAGAATGTGTTGCTGATGCCAAAATGCTGACAGGCTTATATTGGTCTTTAAAAAATACACAAAATGTGTGTAAAGGGTAGTGTTCTACTGCTATAGGCTTTGGTGAACTGACAGTGTAAAGTTGAAAACCCCTTCTACAACCTCTCTCACTTTGGAGAGATCAAATGCAACCCATCCCTGACATGTGTCCCAAAAGAAAAACCCCACCCAAACCCCAAAGAGAGGACGAGGGGCAAAAGATGTCAACTACCAAGTTGTCAGAAATGAACTTATTTTCCAGGAGGAGCTGCTGCATCTTGGTCAATGAAAGTGGTTCCAGCACCTGAATCTGAGAGTTGAACCCCAAAACGGCTGGGGAGCAACTATACTGAAGGAAACCGATTCATTTGTGGAACTGAAAGGTGAGTCCAGGGAATCCAGCCAAAACGAGGGATGGCTAGAGGGGTATGTGGCAACAATAATTCTGTTTGAATATCTAGTACTCTGTATGACTCCAGAAGCGGTCAGCAGAGGAACGACCAGGGGGGGACTGCAGTTAGTCTGAGTTTACAGGTCACAACAGCAGTCAAGCCCTGGTCACCCCAACAGGAGGAAAAAACACAAATAATATACTACATAATTTATTTCTGTCATGATTTGGCAATTTTATTTTTAGATGTTTGTATACCGTCAACAGAAAAACACAGTACAAATGATCAAAGTGATGAACTTTGATGAAACGTGATCAAACTGAAAAGTGATCAAAGCAACAACTACATGTGGATTTCAGCAGGTTTTTATTTTTAGATCGTTGTCTCAGATATTAAGGCTGCATAAAGAGTTCATGTAGAGCTCAAGTGCTCAGCTTTCATTTCAAAATCTTCATCTTGACCAAATATCCACAGACTAGCCACATTCTACACATTAGGCCAGCGATGGGGTGACGGATCACTGCAGAAGTCTTTCAGGTGTGAGAGCTGGGAAAGAATGGCTGGGATAAAAGTCCATAACCAACAAGCCTGTGGAAGACTGTCTCTCTTCACATGTTGGTGCTCATTCTTGTCTGGCTGTTCGCTGGGGTCAGTTCCCCCTGGCTGCCCTCTCTTGGTGGAGACTGAGGAGGAGAGAAAACAGCATTGACACTCCGGTTAATATATGTTGTGTACAACCAGGATTGCAAAGTGGAAAGTCAAGGAAGAGTTGGTCGTTTCTCAGCTTTGTTCCCGCTCTCATTTGATCCCCCTGGTGGACACCAGGGTGGACATTGACCGGTGGGACTTTCACCTTAACGTGGATTTGGTTGCGCAGCACAGCAGCTCGGAGGATCATGGCTTTTGCTCGTCTCTGGAACTCTTTACCCATGTGGAGGGACTTCTCAAAAGTGGTACTCCTCTGGTCCACATCCCTTGCGTACAGAATCTGTCAACATGTTTCATTTCCAGAAGGTAGAGTTTAAGTAGGAAAAAATAAAAAACAAAGCTGTATGCAGAGGAACCCTAACCTTGCTGTGGGAATCAATGCGGGCATTGACCAGACCCTCCAGTATGAGTTGGGTGAGTTCATCCTCAAGAGCTAGGACTGTGGTGTTGAAAGCCTGAGCCATCTTTGTCATGTCAGCCGATACGTAGGGGCTGAAATACTGACAGACACACAGACAGGGGTCATCTTTGGCTGAAAAACAGCAAAGCAACAATACTGTACTGGGTTCAAAGTTGTTCTGTCAAAAGGGTGGGGAACACATGAGTGTGTTAAACCAGGATGCTGGAAGACTTTCCCAGGGGAAAGACGTGGTCGTCCCCCAGCCCATCCAGCCACGCCGGCTTTATCTTTGTAAATAATGCTGAGGCGAACAGACAAAGAAAGTAACAAATGACAAGGACCAGTGCTTAGACTTCTACATTTGACCCATTTACCTACAGAGTAGGCTCGCTCACAAGCCCCCAGTGGCTCCTGGGGCTCGGGGTCCGACTCAGCCCAAAACAGAGACCAGGTCGGTACAATGTGGGCTGAGCAGCAGGCCAAGACCAGGGCCTGGGTCCCGGGTGTCTGGCTCAGGAGGGGAGGTGAGTTGGAGCGGGACATGGATGGAGGGATCAGGGCTTTGTCAAAGGCAATGAGGGCCCTGCTCCAGTCTGTCTTAGTGGAGGGGAGCTGAGCCAGAGGGTTAGGGTTTATCTTTGGTTGCTTTTCCATTAGGCTCTACTTGGCTTTTCCATTACAAATTCAGGTCAAACAAAGACGAGTCGACCTGCATGTGACGCCTTTCAGCCGCCACACAAGCATGAGACAACCATGAAGGACATGGCGGCCACTCTAGACCCGCTAAACCTGGCTGTGGTTCCTGTACTGGGAATTCTTCACCAACAAACTTGTTTCTATCCTAGAGAAGATGAATGGAATCCTTACCACTATTACCACTGAGCTTTTTTCCAGGTACAGTAGCTGTACAAGCAGTCTCCTTAAGCAGTTCCGTTTGAACTTTTAGGGGGCAACTTTCTTTCACTTGGATGAGTTGCTAGAGACTACAGTGATCTTAAAACGCCAATGTTCCCACCCTTTCACTTGCACATTAATTAGTTATAGCGCCCGTGAAATGTTTTTGCACTTGTTTCAAGACGAAGATGATCCAATTATTTCATTTTCTGGTGCCGGTTGGCGGCGATCTATTGAAAGTTGCAAGTCCTGGATAGACCTGGATGGCAGGGAGAAAGAAATATCCGAGACTTTCTCTCAGTTCACAGTTGAGTCGCCGGGACCCGCTGAGCTGGGGAACCGTAGGAAGTGCTACTCGAAGTACACGGACTAAAAAAAGTTCGGAGAGCACGTAAACGTGTTGTACGTAAGCGAACACAAAGCAATCTTTACTGTGATGATGAAAGAAGCTGATACCAGACTTCTACTTCATGCAAAGCATGCTTATTTGGAATATAAAGATATTGTTATCTTGAACCCAGACACTGATGTCATGATCTTGGTTTTAGGTTGTGCGCATTGTTTTGAGAGTACTATCTATTTTAAGACAGGGACTGGAAATAAAACTCGTATTGTAAATATTTCTCATCTAGCAAGTCTTCATGGTCCAAGGAAAGGTCGAGCTTTTGTTGGTCTTCATGTTTTTACTGGATGTGACACGTTAAGTGCCTTTTAAAGGGAAAGGAAAAGTTAATAATGCCAGGTTTAAAAGGTTCTCTTCTCTGTAAATCAGATAAATCTTTTCCGCCAAATGAGGATTGTCTTTGACAACATTCTAAGCGAGCTGCATACCAGCTAGCAAATTATAGAAGGTGTTTGGACCAGTTTATTAACACCCCTAACCCAGAAGGCCATGGATGGTCCTTTGAAGATGGAGTGCTCTCCTATGGTTGGATGGTAAATCCCACAGCTCCATCTGATGTCACCATGGGCATGTCTTGCAAGTTCAAGACAAATGCAGTGCTACACAAATCTGTCCATGTGTAGTGACCTCTGTGCAAACTGTCCTGCTATGATTGAAAATGAGAATGATGTGGGAGAGATATATTCAAATGATAAAGAGGACTTGGATGATTCAGAAAATGTTTTTCGGATATGTTGTAAGTTTTTGATGAAAATATAAAAAATATAAATATGAAAGGTCTGGATTTAAATAATAAGATGTAAATATTATATGTTTGGATTTAAATAATCTGATGTTGCGAGGAAAGGTTAAGATTGAAATAATATAACTGTAGATATGAGAGGTTCATATGTTTATATTGTATATAAATATTGATCCCTAGTTAGTTTTTTTTTTACAGTGAAAATGATATATTCTTCCATTTTCTATAGCAAGGTTTACTTGTGATAATAAGGCTTTATTCAACTGTATTATGTTGTTTTGATTATTTTTTAAGACTAAAAGTACCCTACATTGTTTTTCTCTCATTAAGTTAATAAATACAATATGGAGGAAAGTAAAGTGTCAGTTTTTCATTAATTAAATCAGTAAGAAATTATTTTGACAAAAAACAAGGTTTTTGCATATTAAATTATTGTCCTTTGTCTTGCTATGGCTGTATAAAGTGGAAAATATGTAGTAGTTCAGGTTCAGTGGCAGTGAAAATCGAAACTAAAGGTCAAAATTGCATTTCCGTGTTGATTACAGCAGTTTTTGCATAAAAAAAACTTTTTCTAATGATCATCCTCAATGATTTTAAAGTATTTTGGTAAAGATCACTTGGTTAAAACCAAAAATATGGAGATTTTCTTAGTTTTAGCCACCTATAGGCCAGATGTGGAACTACTGAATTTTTAATTGGCTGTAATTAATTAATGTGCAAGTGAAAATGTGGGAACATTGGCTTTTTGAGATCGCTGAAGTCCAAAGTATCTAATTAAACTGGAGGAAAGTTGCCCCCAAAAAGTTCAAACGAGAAGTCATCGTACAGACTCTGGCCCACGGCCTATTTACTCCAAGGTGAACCCTAAACGCCCATCTTCCACTGGCTGTGAGCGGCTCAGGCCCAGAGGCTGAGCTGGCAGGCCTCTGAAACACGTCAGTAGCTGGAGCAGCTCCATGCGAGCAGCGGGAAACCCCCACAGCCATATGGACGTTGTTCAGAGCTGCCAGAGGTCTGTGCTCATTTAGGATTCAGTTTCCTGGGATCATCTGGGACAGGGGTTGCTGGGTTAGGGTTATGTCTGGGTCTGGGAGCTGCTCGGGTCCCAGTCTTATTCACATAGCAGCCGCACAGTGCAGGTCTCACCTGAATGAGGGCCCTGTTCCTGATCTGACTGTACAGCGTCTTGATGTGTGGAGCCAGGTACATATCCAGCAGCAGGTTATCCTGAAACAAACAAACACCACAGTTCCTGGCTTTTCTAGAATACACCCACAATCTCATGACTCTTGTGAGAAATAGGTTTCTCAGACTGATTTCATTCACTATAATAATATCTTCAAAATGAAAAGCATCCTGTTTCAGAGGGAGTTAGAAAAACTGCTCCATGCAGCATTGGACTGCTGTAAAAAAGTTCTGGTAAAAAACTTTTCAGAATCACACCAGCAGGACTGGTGGAGCCTCATAAAGGAATTATCAACATTGAAAATGAGCAAAGCTTAGAGTCCTCTGATGGACCTACTTCACATGCCTTTTCACAGCCCTCTTAAGCCTCCATTTGACATGACTGTCATCAGGATGGGGAGGTGAAGCTGGTCAGCCTCTGAGTGGATAATGCAGGTATCATGCTGGCCAACCAACACCTCTGCTCACACGCCTAAAGGGACCAGCCTTTTCACCTCATTTCTGTTCATCATTCACAGAAATACATATCTAATGGCCAAGCATGTCTAAAAGAAACATCCAGAACTGAAAAGGTTCAGACAGAATGAGGTCCACCGCGGAGAGGCACTCCAACAGCTAGAGCCCGGTTCTGCCGGTGAGAGTGGTGAAAAGGCGGTGGCTCAGATTTCTTGAATGTGGAAACATCCAGCTGAAAAAGGCCTCACCTTCATTTCATCCAGTAGCTTGAGACAAGATGCATACTTGGACTCATAGAACTTGAAGATGATGTCACGGATCTGAGGTTCCAACTCCAGAAACAATTTAAAGGAGCTGTGGAGCAAAATAGGTCACAAAATAAGGAAAAATAGCAGATATTTTGTACAATGTAGAATCTTCTGGTTTATAGTCTACACGTTCTTCAGATAAAAGCCCCCAAACTGTTCTACCATTGGACTATTTTGGCATTGATGGAAACTTCCCCAGATCAATCACTGATGAAAACTAGTCTGGAGGGTGTAAATGAAGAAATATAAAATCTAACAATGGCCAAATGACTGAATCCATGACTTTTTGTGCTGTTCTTCATCACATGCTGGCATACCACCTCAATCGTTGTAATGCTGGCACCCACGTACCTGCTGGAGATGACATTGCGCTGGAGCTCCTGGCGGTCGAATGTGGCCAGGGCACACAGGCCTCCGTACACCGCCACGTTACTGGGGGACAGCAGCTGCAGGGAGCACGCCACAGACACCGACATCAGCTTTCCCCAAACTGCTCATACATATCCACACAGCCCTCCAAACGCAGAGGCCAGGGAAACTACCTGGCAGCGTTAGTTTATTTAGCATTTGGCCCAGGGGCAGCTCCAGGTTTAGGTCCGGGCTGCTGGTGGACAGCTGGACGCTGGTTAGCAGGGAGCCAGGTGAGTTATGAGAGTGAGCCCTTCAGGAGAACCCAGCAGTTCTAAATGGGGGGCCGTGGGTGTCTGGACTGACCTACGGCTCCTTAAGCTGCTGCTGTCTGACTGAATGTTCCTTCTGTTATTTCTGACTGTTTGTTATTGGAGGCCGGTTTTCACCAATTTTTGCTTTTTATTTTATTTTTCTAAGTAATGACTGCAGCGTGTCACCTACCTCAGGGCAGTCACAGTGATCGAAAGAAGCCTGTAGAAAGCACTTGGCAGCTGGTTTATACTTCCGTGAGGCCAACTCAGCCAGTCCTACAACAACGACAACAACGAGAGGTGAGCCTCAAAGACGCTGCGTAACAGGTCCCCCCCCAGTCCAACCCTGCAGCTCTGCGCCGCTTCCTCCCCCTCACACCGATGGACGTGGACTCGCATGGGTTAGACCACCCTCACATCAGAGGGTGAAACCAACACCCTAACCTTAAACCAACAGGCCCTCCTCCATCAAAAGTGTCTTTATCAGGGACTGGTGTCACAACAAGGCTTTGTCAAAGGTTCTCTTATTTTCTGATGCACGCATCAAATGCATGAATGGGCCCGGGCCTGCCACCCACACACAGGTACACCACTTCACTTGAAAAAATTAAAGTGCCTTTACCAGGAAAAAGGTTACCGTACATAAAATACAGGCTATTTTCTTTCATTTCATCACAGCTTATATGTTGATTTTTTTCTCCACACAGACAGTCTTCAAAAGGTCTTTAAAACTGACTTAAAGAAGTAGAAGGTGTTCGTCTGAGAGCAGGGGAAGGACTACTTAGCACTTATGTCACAAACATAAGTAGGGTGCTGGAAAATATAGGATCAAAAATCAAGCAAGTCCTGGAAGGCCAGGGTCTGCCACCGTCATCGGGGAGCCGGGATGAGGCCTCTGGCAGCCAGCACGCATTTGCCCCCCCGACCAGTCTGCGCTGTGTGCTTTCACGTCCCTCAGATAACTCAAAGAGAGGAGGCCATCCGTAAATCCTAAAACCTGGACGGGTGGCCCCAGACAAATTCCTTTTTTTGGGAGAAGTACTTTCTGCTTGTGAAACGCAGGCTGGAGGGAGCCTGCTGCTGCCACCGCCCACGTTTATCAACGGTTCCGAGTTAAACAGGAGTAGGAACTGCCTCAGTGGGACAGCACGCTGCTATGGAGACACAGGTGCTCTCACACTGTTTTAGGGCTGTTGTGATGAAGTGGATGAGGTCTTACCAGCAGCACACTTCAGTTTGGTGAGGACAGCTTGGTTCTGGCTGTCTCTCTCTCCTCTTTGCTACAGAAAGGAAAATGAGACATTTCAGTCAAAGTTTTGAAAAGTGGACTGCTGCTGACAAAGTCAAACTGGGACCTACCTCAGCTATTTCTGGTGTGGACTCTGCTTTGTTGACATAACTCAACACATGAGACCAGTTCTGGAGGTAAACGCTGACCTGAAAGAGAAGATTTCCTCCTAAACAGGCTTTATTTGACATTCCTAAAAACCAGCTGCCACTTCCAGGATCTGTGGGATGGGTCAGGGGGGAGCACAGACCCAGGGGGATCAGGGTTAACGGCTACCTGCTGGAGCTGGTGGCTGCACACAGCAGTACACAGCTGGAAAGCTGGAGAGCCACCCCTCCTGATAATGATTAAGAGCAGGACTATCCCACAGAGCTTTTTGCTCACAGAGGGTCACTTTCCCTCTGGCACCCGTCAGCCTGACGGGGGGGACTTGGAGCAGAAAGTTCCTATGATACTAGCTTGCTATCAGAGCCCACTTCTGAGTCAATGCAGCAGGCAGGTGAGACAATTCAGTGTCAAACATCTGAGCAGAGGAAGCAGCAGGGCACCCATATGGACTCTGTCTGAACAGAACACTTCAGTCAGCATGCGTTGTACCTTAATGACATTCAGACACATGTTAATGACATGCTTTGCGCTGGTGCAGTAGTCTCTGGCCCGGGAGTAGCACTTCAGAGCATTACTGAGGTCCCCACAGTCCAGGTAGTGGTCCCCCAGATCATCATGGCCTCTCCTAAATTGAGAGAGAGGAAGGCTGGTTAGTACAGACTACGTTCAGCTGGAGGCCGCCGTCACACTGCTGCACCTCCTCTGCTCAGATTGCTGTGTGTGTGCGTATCAGGATCCCTAGAGAGGACAGCCGACCTCAGCCAGGGAGCTGATTGGCCGAGCTGAGGAAACGGACGCTGGTAGGGAGAAAGATCCCTTCTGCAAACAGAGCTGTGGGGCTTTTCAGACTTGTTCCAGCTATTCAGAAAATAACAAGCAAACAGCCTGATTTGATATAGTTCCTCCTGAGGACCCCTAAGGTACTTTACACTGTATTTAGATCCCCTCCTGTTTGATGCCTTCCAAACCCATTTTGTAAAATAATGTAAGCAGCATGAACTTTCACTGAACAGAAAAAAGCAGAAAATGACTATTTTCACTGCAGATGTGCGTGTCACAGCAGTCCTGACTCACTGCCTGATTGGATCGCAGAGGAATGAAGAGGACAGAAACACAGGGAGGCCTTCATGCGGCAGTAGTGCTCGTTTGCCACTATTTTTTGAAAATGGTCTTTCCAACCTGTAATCAAAGCTGACGGAACCCAGCTCTGTGTGAGCTGCCGCAGAAAGACAAACCTGGAGTCATACCTGATGCTCTCTTTGATGGAGTTGCCTTTATAGTTCTTTAGGTCTGTATCCAGTTTCTCCAGTTTGAGCAGGGCCTTTTTCCTGGTAGATTCAGCCCAGCTGGAGTCCAGGGGAGGAGGAACAGCCCCACCTTCAGGCACGGTGTCTGGTACCCCCTGGATTTCCCTAAAGATGGGAGCAGAAGAACTGTTGCTATTCCCCAAAAAGAAGGCTGTGCTGAAACCACTTGATAGCTTGTGTGATGAACATCATTAGATATAATCAACTGATGGCCTATGGTGAACAGCACTGAGCTGTGGAACAGAGGGGAAATATAGAACTAGTGCAAACAATACATTCAGTCCAAATATTACGAATACACTGAAAGTCACTAAACCCAAACACTTAGTCAGAATGGATTTAGATTTGTTTGACTAGTTCCCTTTCCTTAACTCAATTTAACTCTGACTGATTGGGATTCTGACTGTAATACCGTGTGGCTTCCGTCAGTTTGCGGTGGATCTCTTCATAGGCATCCACATTAAAGGTCCTCTGGACAAAGGTAAGCGCCATCTTCAGAGCTTCCACTCGGAGCTGAGGGCAATGCTCTGCAATGAACTGCAGCCTCTCGATGCGCATCAGCCCACTGTAGCTGGTGGCATACTGCTCCAGGTCCTGGCAGCACACAAACAAGCAGAGGTGAGATCTCAGCCCAGCCCAAGACCCGAGCACTTGCTCTGCTCAGGTTGTCAGAAAGCTGTTCTAGATTAGCTAAGAGGCAGGAGAGGACACAGGAGGATGCTGTGTCCTATGTGGGGAATGTTGGCAGGGCTTTATGAGCTGTGACTGAGGTGGATGGTAACACCTGAAAAGATTGTTGCTCTTAACTCACATTCCTGGAAGCACATGTCAGTGATCACTAAGACAGGAGGTAACAGAAGCTCTCCAACTCATGATAAACATGGGCTGGTGTAGGAGGTAAGCACAAGATTACGCCCCACCCTATTCCCTTCATTCTGCAGGTGCACCTGCAGGCACACAGACCCGGCTGTGAACCAGCATTAGGATTAGTCTCACAATGAAGCATGCGGCCCGGGCAGGTATTACCAGTGTCGGGTTCTCCACTATGTAGTTGATGTCAGGAGCATTCTGCTGGTCTTCTTGAGGGTCTGCATCAATTTGCATGGGCTCCACAGACCCCTGAGAGAAGACAGAAAAAACAAGATTTAGGTATTTTGTACTCTACTAACAATAATGGTCTGGGAAATAATATGGCTGACAATCTTTTGTTATTTTCTAACCCTTGAAAACTGAGAAAGTGTTCTCCTTGTGCTGGCACATTCAAAGCAGCGAGGTAACGGTTAAGAAGCTGCTGGTTAGTCCTGCTGTGGGGGGGGCTTTTACTGGCCAGGATGCCCACCCCCTGCTCAGGCTAAGGGTGGAGGCTCAGGTACCCACAGGAGTCAACACAACATTGATAAGGAGAAACTGGCTTTAAAGTGCAGCTGTCTGGGCACATGCCCAATGTATTCCTCAATATGGCCTGTCTACTGCACAAATCCTCACAGCTCTGTTATCACATATAGGAGGTTTCCCTAAATTGGAAAAGGACAGACGGGGCCCTGCAACACGTCTTGTAGCTACCACACAGGTAGAAATTACAGAAGAGTTGTGTGTTGTTTTCCCTGGAAGTCCCTGCTCCTCAGAGCATCTTTTAAGAGCTGCAAAGGATTAATTACCAACTAACGTCCACGTAAACGAACATCCTTTCTGTCCACTGGGGAGCGATGTATCGCCTACAACGGCTTCTTACCATTAACAGCAGGATTAGCCCGAGTAAAGTTGCTGTAAAAACGGTTTGCCATCACCATTACGGGGCAGATGTGCGGCTCTTTGCCCCGGCACTTTATCCTAAAGAAACGGATGTCCAGCACCCACACAATACCACCACCACCACCATCATCATCATCATCATCTTTGACTGGGTACATCCAAGGCTGACCCCCTGACACAGCTAACTTATCTAATCTATTAACCGGCTCCAGCTCCGGCTTACCCCAGCCTACATCACTGCTTACCAAAAAGAACCACATCCATTAACTAGCACACTTATTACTGGTTTATCTCTTTGGGTAAACAAGGCCTTTAGCACCCTCCTGGATGTCGTTAGCATGGCCAGCGGAATCCAAATCTTCGCTAGGATCCGGAGCTGCTTGCTAGCTTTGCTACGTTTCTATCAAGATGTGGACGCCAAAAAACTGCTGTCACTATTACTTACCTGAAAGTTAAAGACCTGCACGGGCAAAGGCATCTCACGTCGTTTATCTCACGTCGATAGATGAAAAAAGAATATCAAGATATGACATCCGCAGTTTTCTGCGGCAGGTCAGGCTGCCACCTCGGAAGTTGTTCATTGGTGGCTCTGTTCCAGCTGTTTGCTACTGCCCCCTACTGGCCCGGGGGAGTGGACACACCGAGCCTTCCATTCATTTAATAATTCATTCCCTCTCCTGTCTGTCCTCACGAGGTTTAAGGCGGTTTAGCTTGAATTAACTCAGTGTTTTCAAGTGTCAGAACTTTCTTTTTCACAAATTCAAGTACACTAAAAAATACTACATAGTTTTTTTAAATGAATGTAACATGTCTACACTTGAAAACACTGAGTTAATTTGAAAGCTCACCAATTGGTTAAAACAAAACAGTAGTAAGAATATGTAAATGTTACTCTCAGCTGAACAAACTGACCCAGATATCACACACAGTCACGTCCTTAACTATTTGTACATCAAGACAATTCTATTTTTCATGGCTCTGTACACCACCACAATGTATTTTAAATGACTAAACAACATGTGCTTTAATGGCTGAATTTCAGCTTTAGTTTGAGAGTATTTACATCCCAGTTGGGTCAACAGTGTAGGAATTAAAACCGTTTGTATATGTGCTTCCCACCTTTTAGTTTCAGGACAAAAAGCATTAGCATTATAAAAGATTAAATAAAAAAAAACTGTGGGATTGGAATAATGCTTAGAGAGAATAATTTGATAAATAATAGAGAAATATATGAAGATCATATTGGTAGATGATTCTTTTTTTGGGTAATCTACAACTCAGTCCATGAAGCTCTTAGAGCATAGCGCAGCTCTGCTGATGTTCTGGCACTGAAAGAAGATGATGAAGAGCAGCCTCCATGTTCACTGCACAGCAATGTCAAAGCACTGTTTAAAACTCTAAACATTTGTGTTTAAAACATTTTTTGTGTCTTTTGGTACCTCGTTATGCAGTACAATGAAGTAGCAAATAGGTGAACATGTGGTTAATTTCTCATTTGGTTGTATGTACTTAGTTTCTTTTGCTGTGACTGTCTTCTGTTTTTTGTTTCTGTTTTGCGTTAATAGGTTTATTTTAAACATTGAGTGTGGAATTTAATTTACTATATGTCCAGGAAAATAGATGTGGTCAGTAATGACTTTATTTGGGCTGTGTTTTATGTTTTAGTGACTCTTTTGATTCTTTCAGCTTCAACCAGAGGCCATGCAGTACAGCCTGACTACAGCGACACTCTGTGGCAGTTTGGTGTAACTACAGCAGGAAAAAATGAAGCGTTTCTTCAGTTTTCCTCCATTTAAATGAGAACATAAATGGAGTTAATGCCACTTTTAGAGCACAGGCAAAAACATAATGCCTTCAAATGTTCAGCACAGCCAATAACTGACTGTCTTTGAAGCTTTGTTCAGATCAGGATCTACTAAGGCTGACAAACAGCTAAAAGTGGTTTGGATCCACACAGCAGAGCTCAGTTTTAAAAAAAGGTAAAGCCAGGGCCCAGCTTCCTGTTGTGGTATAGATCTGAGTTGTTCTGCATCTTTTAGACAGTTCAAAGCTTCCTGCTGGCGTTCTGCAACTCTTCTGGCTAAAGATGAGGCAGAATGACCTGAGACAGAGTGGATGGGTTCAAGCTCTCCGTTCTCTCCATGTGGTCTGTGTCAGCAGAAGAGATCACAGTCAGGTCGGGGTCAGGTGTGGTGAGGGTTAAGGTTCTGGTCCAGTAGGATTCCAGCGTGGGTCTGTGTCCAGTTGGAAATTAAGTCGGACCTGTTTCCGGTGGGAGTTGGACTCCGCCAAGGTTGCCCTATGTCTCCGGTTCTGTTGATAATTTTTACAGACAGGCACAGCCGAGGTGTTGAGGGTGTCAGTCTTGGTGGCCTTAGGATCGCATCTCTGCTTTTTGCAGATGATGTGGTCCTGTTGGCTTCATCAAGTCGGGACCTACAGCTCTCACTGGAGCGGTTCACAGCCGAGTGTGAAGCGGCTGGGATGAGGATCAGTGCCTCCAAGTCCGAGACCATGGTCTCTCACCGGAAGAGGGTAGAGTGCCTTCTCCGGGTCGGAGCGGACGTCCTTCCCCAAGTGGAGGAGTTCAAGTATCTCGGGGTCTTTGCTAAAGGGGGTAGGGAGCGTGAGATCAATAGGCGGATCGGTGCGGCGTCTGCAGTAATGCGGGCGCTGTACCGGTCTGTCGTGATGAAGAGAGAGCTGAGCCTAAAGGCGA